CCTTTTCACTTCATTTTGAGAGGACCTCCACAATTATTCCCCTATCCAAAAAAAAAAAACCCTTGCCTTCCACTCGTCTTTCTATCGAAAAAAAAAGAAGAAGAAAAAGCTTAGTCTCCATCACTCATCTATCTACTAAAAAAAAAACAACCTAGCATCCATAATTATTCCCTCTATACAAAATCATTTAACCGAAAAACCCATCACCCCTACCCACAAAAAAGAATTAAAATGCGGAAAGTTCATTATTTATCATCTCTTTAAAAAAATTTACAAGACACGAATCCCATGAGAAAAAAAAAGGATTCTCGCTAAACGGCGCACGAAAAGGGCTACCAACCTGGATCGCCTGTAGGTCAACCCGCATACCCGTCGACATTCTTCCCATGAACTGGCTATCATTTGGCTAAAATTATTTTGATCCACCACTACCAATCGATAGCCCATCACTAGATCTCTCATTCCGAATGGTTAAGGAAGAAGATGATGTCGGAGGAGAGAGAAATCGAGGAGAGAAGTTATAGAACCCGACTTGGATAACAACCTGGACGATTCTTTATTTTTTGGCTAAATCGGTCGCTCCTACCTCCGGATAAACACCCCTCACCCTCCTAAAAGCGGCTCCCCTAAAAATCACGGCTCAACATCATCAAAAATTGATCGAATCGAACAACACAACCGTCTTGACCCATTTTTTAAGACCTAGCTTAATCTTTTATTTTCAATCAAATTGTACCTCCAAACTATTGAAGAAACACTCTTCGTGGTCTTTTGAGTCGGTTGGTATCCTCCCTAGACCTTGTCGTGGTCGGAATCACAATGAAAATCGACGGCGGTCGGCGATGTCGATCTTCCTCCTTCGAAAATTCATGACCCGCATTGCACACTCCGGATGAACCGGCATGTCCACACGCTCTTTCCCTAACCGGTCATACGCCAAAGGGCTCACCGAACGCAATCGTGGATGGTGACAATGACGTCGGGGTGACATCTCCCCCAAAAATCATAGCTTAAAGTCGCCAAAAATTGATCGAATCGAACAACACGACTGTTTTGACCCATTTTTGAAGACCCAGCTAAATCTTTCGCTTTCGATCAAATCGTACCTCCAAACTATTCAAGAAACACCCCTCATGGTCTTTTGAGTCGATTAGCATCCTCCCTAGACCTCGTTGTGGTCGGAATCATGATGGAAAACAACGAGCAATTAGCGATGCCGATCTCCCTCCTTCGAAAATTTGTGACCTACATTGCATGCTCCAAACGAACCAGCGAGGCCCACACACTCCTTCTCTAACCAATCATGCTCCAAAGGGCTCACCGAACGTGACCATGGATGGTGATAGAGATGCTAGGGTTTCGAAAGGCAATTTCGTAATTTTGACATATATGAGCATTTTGGTAATTTCTAGTACCATTCCAAGAAGAATTTTGGTCATTGTCTAGTGACCATTTGGTTTGGTTTTTTATCCTTTTTTTAAAATTATTTTATGATATTATTTTGTAATAATATTAATTTATTTGTGTTAAAAAAATCTAAAAATATGTTGGGTGTGGGATTTATTTTATTGTATGGATTTGATTCGACTATGATATCGGACCAATGAATCTCCTATTTATTAGGGACGGACAATGGTTTCGATAAATTTTATCCAATAATGAAAATGCTAAAAAATAATAAAGAATCAATTCATGTCGATTTTATTCAATATTTCACACAAATACTTTTAGTTAATGAGGTTATTTCTCGACATGCCAATCGTGTTAAGACTTTAATTCACATTCGATACTAGATTAAAGAGACTCTCAAATTTTGGGGTTCGACTTTAATTTAATATGATGCCATAGAAAAAAAAACAAAAAGTAATTTTGTTTATGTTTTTCCTTGCATAACTCAAAATAAAATAGAAAAGAACAAAAAAAGAAATAAAAGCGTTTTAAGCAATTTTAATAAATCTCTTATCCAATAGAGATTGATGTTAATTCAAAATCAATCAAATTTTAGTAATCAAATCGTTTTTCGACATAACGATTATGTTGAGACTTAAACTTGATCCGATATTGGATTGACGAGACTTTCGACTTCAAGGTCCGACAATTGATTAAATATAAGGCCACAAACAAAAATAAAAAATTAATTTGGTTTAGATAATAAACTTGGAAATTGGCTCATAAATATTTTGGCAAAAATAGAACTCTTACTAGATAAATTGTTAGAATTAAACTAGATGTGATACTTTTTTAAAAAGAGTGTCTTTAGGTGATTTATATTTTTCTAAGGCATAATCAATTATTTGTCTTAGAATCTCTAAATCAATGTCAATTTTAGATTTCTAGTTATTTTAATATGAGGTAACGATTTCAAAAACTTAATTTAACTCACATCCTCGGACAAACATATTTCAATTTATTATTTTTAAAGTCTTACAAACGTCGGGTAGTGAGAAGTTCTAGTATGTTGGTAGTGAATGAGATTTTCATATTCATATGGTCATTAGCAACATTTAATTTACAAATGATATTGTATGGTAGTTAAGCAAGAAGAAGAAGAGGATCGATAATATCAATTTAATTAGTTGCTGCCAACACCAAATGAAACGAAGAATTAGATATTTATTTTATTTTATTTTGAGACTCAAAATTAATTACATGAGGGTAAACTGAAATCTGCTTGTTGTGTTAGAGTGAATAGAATAAAGAATATTAATGGATAAAATGAATTTCTAGTCTGCTTTTAATTTTAATTTGTAATTTTATAATTTTTTTCCAGCTATTTTCTTACTGACTTTTAATTTAAACTCACGGATTCTCATAATAATAAGAAGAAGAAGAAGAAGAAGATGACGACGATGATGGTGGTGATGAGTACAACTTCTTCTTGACAACTTGAACAGGATGAGACTAAGCTGTGTGATGGATCGAGCTAGTACTGATAATTGAAATACGACACAGTTATTGCCTTTCCATCAGCGTGTACGCATAAAATGTACAGGTGCGTCGACAAAAAACAGGACATTTTTAGGTGGATGAAGATTCTCTTAAATATAGTAAATCCTTGCTTCATAAGAAGCAAAATTCAAATAGATTTTGGAATCCTACTAATTAAGCACACAATACATGGTGATTTATTTTCAGATTCAAGTGGTCAATGATGCTACTTGGATGTGTTCTACTACAACTTTGGCTTTCCAATTTAAGGAAAAAGCGCCAAAATATAGACCCTGTAATTTGGAAAGTGAGTGATAAAAAAGAGAAGGATCATAACGTGGCAGGTGCAAGGTCACATATATTGGGGCTAATAACTACATATGATACATGGATAACTCATGCACGCACGAAGTTATCGTGGCATCAAAATAAATAACATAATTAAAAGCACCATATGGCCGGTTAAGGCCATTTTGCAATTTATCAGCCGGCAGTGTCTGTCGTATAGTCAAATGATCAGTTGGTATTCGTATCGTAACTTTTTTTTTTTTTTTCATTCTTTAACCATCCTATTGAGAAATATTTTTAAGTTATTAATAATTGAGTATGATAACATTAGATACTTAACAAAAAGCTCATGTTCACGAAATATATGTTTCAAGTACTGATTTTTACAATTTGTTTATGTGGACAAATCCATGCTGCAAGCTAACTTTACATATTTTTTATTTTTTATTTTTTTAATAAGATAGGAAGAGAGCCCCCATTCCCCTCCCTTTTACTAAAATATATACTGAGGAGGGTGATCGATGAAGGGAAAAGAAAAACTTACACAGTCTTGAACTCAAATTTAAAATTATACCTTTATTATTTTTATCTGTAAAACTTTACTCAAATACATAGATGTAATTAATAACAAAATCTCTCATTTTCATTAAAAAAAAAATAATAATAACTTCCATTCATTCACTTAGTTACAAATCCAAATGAAAAGGGATTACATTTATGTTACCTCAGAAACAGACAATAAACATTCATTTTAATTGGGTACTAAAATAACAAATAATGGACTAATTATGAGGAATTAAGAGTTCAAATATTAATTAACTGAAATTAAAAATTTAAAATTCAAGTTGTTTTTATTTCATTGTTTTATTTTTTTAGTTATAAAAAGGGATCGATTCTAATTTAAAGAGATTATCTCATAAAAAACGACGATATATACAAATAATAATTGAAATGCCAACTCGTTAATAAAATAAAAATATAATATATTGAAGTGTTAAATTTTAAAGCTTGATAAAAAAAAAAGGGCAAATAATGAATTTAACAACACTGTACTTTTTTCAACTAAACATATAATTGTGTCAAAGCAATTTGGGTTTCGAAGTTGACTTGTTTTATGTTATAATGTACCGCATTGAAGAGCTAAGATTTGCTTTCCATTCCATTTTGTCTATCTATGCTGATTGTAAGCACTCAAAGAAAGAGGTAGGCAGGTTCCTAGACAAAGCATCCATGTTTGAAACAAAAACCGAAAAGAACATTTACGGGTATATTTTATTTTATTTCCTTGATGGGATCGAGCAAAAAGGAAAAGTTTAAGGCGGTAGATATATATATCCCATCAAAAAATGAAGTAAAGAATGGACGGTGGTGAAGCCACCGTGAAAATTGAAAAGAAAGGGATCAGCCACCAAAGTGGGTCCAATCCCACTATTAGTTGAGTGATAGCTGAACGAGGAAAAGGGACCTTGTTTAGTTTTTTTTTTTTTTTTTGGACCAGAAATATATATAGTTAATGGGCCCACTACTAGAAAGTCTTAAAATGATTTCCAAATTATTCAATTTGTAATTGAATTATTACTCAAGTTTAATTTACCTTTTTATAATTTTCAATTAACCTTTTTAAATTTAACATCTTTGGCCCCACTCCCACTTCACTAATAGTCTTCAGACCTCTCTATAAATACCATATCATACCATCACTCCTCGGCATCTGAAAAAAGCACCAAATAATTAAGCTTTACTTAGAGAGGAGCAGAAAGATCAGAGAGCGAGTTAAAAGAGAGATGGCGTTCCCAGTGATTAACATGGAGAAGCTAAATGGTGTGGAGAGAGCAGCCACCATGGAAAAGATCAAAGATGCCTGTGAGAACTGGGGCTTCTTCGAGGTATGTCAAAACCTCCTTTTTCTTAAAAAAAAGCTCTCAGCCTTCCAACATTCCTCCTCCTTTTCTAACATGGGCTTTTGTTTTTCTTTTTCTTCTGATCGTTTTTAGCTGTTGAACCATAGCATATCCCCTGAATATTTGGACACCGTGGAGAGAATGACAAAAGAGCACTACAAAAAATGCATGGAGCAAAGGTTCAAGGAATTGGTGGCGAGCAAAGCCCTTGAAGGTGTCCAATCTGAGATCAAAGATATGGACTGGGAGAGCACCTTCTACTTGCGCCATCTCCCCAAGTCAAACATTGCTGAGATCCCCGATCTCGACGATGAGTACAGGTATATTAATTAATATTTAATCTATAAGTTTCATGTTTCCATGTACAATATATTATAAGCAACATTATGGCTTTGATTTGTCTTTATAAATAAAAAAAACATTGGCATTTTTTTGGGTATAAAAAAGGGTCAGGATGTTCACTGAAAACTATGAAGGAAAAAGTTTTTTTTAAAAAAAAAGGTTAAAGGGTCATGATTGGTAGTTAATGGTAGTGCTTGTTTTGAGGTAAATGTTAATTGATCAGTAGTATATTTATTGCTAACTGAATTGTTAGTTGCTAACATGTCACCTTGTGACTCAAAAATAGTAATCGGTAGTGATTACGTAGCCTGAAGGGGCATGATTAGTACATGCTATCACATCTTGATATTTACCCAAAAAATTGATTGATACAGGAAGGTGATGAAAGAATTTGCGTTGAAGTTGGAGAAATTGGCAGAGGAGCTTCTGGACTTGTTATGTGAGAATCTTGGACTCGAAAAGGGGTACCTCAAAAGGGCTTTCTATGGATCAAGCGGAAGTCCAACCTTCGGCACCAAGGTTAGCAATTATCCACCATGCCCTAAACCAGACCTGGTCAAGGGTCTGAGGGCCCACACAGATGCTGGTGGTATCATCTTGCTATTCCAGGACGACAAAGTCAGCGGCCTCCAGCTTCTCAAGGATGGCCAGTGGATTGATGTGCCACCAATGCGTCACTCCATTGTTGTCAACCTTGGTGACCAAATTGAGGTATAAATGCCCAATAATTTGTCTAAACTACTCTAACCTAGCTAGCTAAGTGTTGGTGTCTTAACTTCACGCATAGGATAAAATCTAGCTTATATAATTACATTTTCTAAACATGCTAATCTCTTTGAATATGTAGGTAATCACCAACGGCAAGTACAAGAGTGTGGAGCACAGAGTAATTGCTCAAACAGATGGCACTAGGATGTCAATAGCTTCTTTCTACAACCCTGGAAGTGATGCAGTTATCTATCCAGCACCAGCTTTGGTGGAGAAAGAAGCAGAGGAGAAAAAACAAGTGTACCCAAAATTTGTTTTTGATGACTATATGAAGCTGTATGCTGGACTCAAATTCCAGGCCAAGGAGCCAAGATTTGAAGCCATGAAAGCTGTAGAAACTAATGTCAATCTGGGTCCAATTGCGACTGCTTAAGCTTGTCTTCGACAGAAGAGGACTTGAAGTGTGTTTTATTAATAATTTTTTAAGAGTGTTCTAAAGACTATATAGTAAAAAGCTTTGAAGAAAATGCTTGGAAGAAGATGTAGTTGCTTCCATAAAGCTATCGGTTTGCTATAGTATCACAACAAACTTGATTACTATATTATAAATAACATTTATTTTACAGAAATAAGTTCTATTTTACTGTCACTTTCCTTCAAGTTATCCTTCTACTCATGTTTGAAGCCATAAGCTCCTTTTAAGTTTTTCCCAAGAGGAAACACAAGAACAATGCAATCTAGCTTTACATTCTGTTTCCATAAATAAATCATCAAAGCTCGAACCATCAAGTATAATGAATGAGATGCACAAAATGAAGGGTGAAGGGAAAGCAAGCAAGCTCAAAAACAAGTGACAGTCACTTTCACACAAACTTCATTCCATTTGTTAGATTTCATTTCCTAGGCAGGGAGTTACCGGCAGAGTCCATCTTGAACCATAAGAAACTCTTAGGTAGTTAAAGAATATATATCTAACAACGTTTCCATCTTATTCAATTTAACCCATCATCTAACAGGAAATGAATGTTTAATGTTTGCAACTAATTCCATAAAGCAGATCAATCGTTTTTATGGATTAAGATGGCAGCCCAGATTGCATTATGGGGAAATCATTATCAAATGATGTTATATTAAAATATAGGGAAGCATTGCTTAGTTTATGAGTTGGGTAGGGTAGAAATTCTTTTCCAATTGATGTTGTTTTCTGCATCTTGCAGAGAAGCAGCACATGCAACACTAAATTTTTGTAACCATTTCATGGGACAGACCGTTGTCTCCTGCCCAAGATAGCAACTGTCATTACAAACAATTGTCTAGTTCAGCCAAAAAATAAATGAAAAAATCTGGAGTCCACATTAAGGGTTCATGTCCAATGATTGAAGTTTGCCTTGGCAAGTATTAATTATTCTTAACCATGTAATAGAATAAGTTAAATGACAAAAGACAATATGATTATTTAAGATAATTATTTATTTATAATGCACTACAAGATGATTGTAAAGTCCACAAAAGAGCTTCTTTATGTCCACAAAAGAGCTTCTTTAGGTTATAGGAACTTGAAATCCACATAAGCAATAAATTTGTGGGAGTGGAGAAGCTACTCAGTATCCCTAAGATGCACCAAACAAAACCTCTTTTTGTGCTTTGAATCATAACTGGAATCCTCTCAGATCCACTCTCAAAGACAAAAGAAATTCAGAAACATATCAGCAAAGCATTTTTTGCGGATCAAAAGCTTCTTTTAGTCCTGTCAAATTTCGAAAAATTTCGTCTTGTTCTTTGCTTTTTGTGCAAGAAAGAATATATATATATATATATATATATATATATATATATTATCCTCTAACTGTAGTCTAGCTAAAGTTTTGCGCAAATTATGTGGACTCTAACCGATGAATTTCTCTCTCTTGATCTCTCACATTATTTAGTATGGCTGAGATTCTACATTGGTTGATTTAGGAAACAGTGAAGATCGAATGACTAGAGCAGATTAAATTTAAATTATGAAATCCACGTAGGAAAGTGACAATTGAATCAGGATAATTATAGCATTTCTTAACAATGGAGTTAGCAATCTAAAGAGAGGACATTTTGTCCGACACATAAATGAAAATCTCACCACAAAAACTGAAGCTTCTTTAGGTATCACCAAACCAAATTAAAGAAGTGCCAGCACACAAAATCTCAACCACACCTTTCTATCATGCTAATTATAGGACATCTTCATTCATCAGGATACGGGACAGTGGGTGGATAACCAACATCAATATCGACAAAGATTTTTTTCAGATCAAATTCTTATTTCCAGGTGTTCGGGAGATAACGTTGGAGTTCAATCAGTGTCACACAGTCATTGGCTTTAGGATATGTAATGGGCCTTTCCGAAATTGAGGTGCACCACAACATCTTTTTACATTCAAGTTTCAAGGATTTGTTTACTTGGCATAGGTTTGTCGACATTTTATAATGATTAACTTCTTATCTTCTTGCTTGATATTTAGATTGTGCTGCTATAACTTATAACTTTACTAATTGGACAGAGAGCTGTAGCCCGTAGCTCATTGACATGCTACCTACCATCCACATTGAGGGTCCATGTAAACAAAAGAGAAGAAGTTTTGATCGGTGCAGCATTTAGATCTTGATTAAATGTGAGTATTCTACGAATCCCCCGTTGGTTTTAATCTTAGAAATGATCTAAATGAGTGATTTGAGGAAAGTGGTATAGGATCAAGTGCTTCCGTAGAAATGATAGATGGTTTTGTTGATAAAGATCGAATAAAACAAAAAACAGGTACCAGCAAGCCCATCCCTTCAGCAATTGGATACTGCTGCTATATATCGCCACCGCATATTGTCGGATTCTCCCATCAACTGTTGTCTCACAATACTTGGAATTTAGAAGCCATTTCTTCAGGACTATTATTTTATTTCATGATGTTCACTGCGTTCCTAATTGCATACGACCCATCTTCCATACGTTGAATTGGATCTGCCTTCTCATCCTCCACAACGGCCCTCCGTATTAAAAAATCACCAAATGGATGGGCTTTCTTAACAGATTGATCCAGATTCTTCCTCAAACACTGCACAATATAACTCATCGCTGAATTGTTTCTGAAAACACACAGGATATTTATGCTCTAATCCCCACCAAAATTCACAAAGCCCTACTTGTCCGTTAAAATCTTCAAGTATTACAACTTGCTTCATAAGCGAAGCCCACAACTTCGATGCACTTCATTGTTTTAAGGATCTCAAAACAATTTGCAATTAGGTTCTTCTTCACCAATACAAATAGCTGGAAGACAAAACTCAGCACAATCATGCCTCTAAACCGACAGGCATATAAAACTCTGTAAGAACTTCCAACAATAATCAGCCGTGCTATATATTCCCTATTATTTTTATTTATTTTGAGTCTGTACAAGGGTCTGACATCAATCTCATCAGCATGCATATATTAGATCAGAGATGGTAAGATCTATCATTCAGCACTGCTAAACATCCATGGAATCTAATTGCTTCAAAGATTCTATTATATGTTTAAATATATAAAACAGAGACCAACTTATTTCTTATACAATGAAGTTACAATTCTTCATATCTTTGACTAAGCTGCTCAAAATTCTTAGCAGACTCTGCCTGGCTTTTAATAATCATTAGCCGGAGCCGCTAAGGGAAGAGGAGAGCAGAAATTTTTTTTATTCATATGCAGAATTCATCGTCATCTAAAACCTTGAGACAGGCTAACCATGAGCTTCAACCAGAAATCAGGATTGATCTACAGCGATAGTTGTTGGATGCGTCGGACTTGCCTACTACCCTCAAGAACGAAAAAGAATCATTCCTTTCGCCGCAGAAATGGATCCGGGAACTCAGCACCTTTCCTATTTATTCCAAAGCATGACCTAGAATTCTCTTCAACTGACAAAAAAGAGAAAAAAGAAAAAGCAAGAAGGATTTAGTCCAGCTAGTTATTTACCTCTTCGAGCATGAAAATGACATTGGCATATGCCTTACGGTAGAAACATCAAACAACTCCATAAACCTTTGATCTGAAACTCTAGCCTTTGCAGCTGCGAACCTCTGGTACTCATCAAATATGGATGAGAGACACCACTTTTGCAATTTTCTCAGGCAACCAACAAGACAACCAGTTCGGTGCTGGATATAAGAAAAGCAAGCATAACTCAGAAGGTGTTGACCCTAGAATCAGGTATCTAGCAATCCAGGAACCAGTAGAGGACATACCTTTCCTCTTTTACAATGAATCAAAACCGGATGATTCTTCACATCTGCATTGGAAACAAATATGAAAGGATAAATGTTTATATCCCTCAAATAGTAACAATTAATCAAGCCAGATATAAAATAGGACAATTTGGATGTGCTTGCATACCAAGGACCACTTTTAGTGCTTCACGAATTGTATCCTCTGGCATGTTTACAAATGGTTCCTGGATGCATAATTGAAACATCACTTGGCAACATAGAAAGTTTTTTGCAAGACCCCCAGTGTAATCAAGAAATTAAGAAACAATAACCATGAAAACAGTTATCTCCAGTATTAATATTTTTTTAGACAAATATGCAAATGATAGACAAATATTTCATCAAACTTGGCCTCATTTCAGCCTCCTAGTTTTTGTTCGTATGTTATTGAACCACCTGTCGGGTTTGTTCTATAATGACCAGCTTATTAGCACTTCTATGGTGATGCTAATAAACTCTCCACCAATCCAGACCATATGTTAGACCCAATAACCAGCAACTTTACACGACATCTCCACCTGTCACTTCTGTCTACTGCTGCTTTGTGCTAATTAGCATTGTCTATGACTGTTTGTGCGCAGCACACCCAAGGGAAGCATTCTAACAAGATTCTGTGTTGTCTCCGTCAAATCAAAATTGCGGTATTTTTTGTTTTCACCTAGGACCTTTTTCTTTTTACAAAGTAATCTCACACAGACCAAATACTACACCTTCATCCATTTGTTCATGCACCAGGTCACAAGGATTAATGGTATGCAATAAGTTTTCTGGCTCGTCAGTACCATGATATGACTATTGTGTGTGATGAGCATTGCCCTCATGTAAAGCAAGATTGCATAGCCAGTAAAGACATTCCATTGCATGTTTGTTAGTGTTCAGGTTATGGCACGGGGTTCGTGACGTAATACACACATATGTGCATTTGTGATTCGTAGGGGGTAGTTAGTATGCTGATTCAGATCGTGGTGCATTTTAGAAATCTATTTAAGTCGTCATTAATTTTTAATACTATTAGGATATATAATGGTAGATGCAAGGTAAAGTAGATGGTGCTCAAAACTTTTGATTCAAATAAAGTATAAGTAATCTCATAACTATAAACCCACAGATGACGCTTTAATATTGCACTTAAGCAGATACCAAGCATCAACAAACATGGAATGAGGTAACCAAACTAATGTAGATTATGCACTACTTCTAGCTAATAACCTAAGACAACTATTTGGTTACACACATTTTCTCTCTCTCATTTTGGAAACTTAAGCTCCTTACTGCATACATACATGTTCATTAAGAATGAAAACACAACATGCAGATAAATGTAGTACAGCTTTTTATTACATACAAATAAACTTTTCACTTTTGATATCAAGGACACTACATCTCCTGGAAAACTAATTAAAAGTTGTAGGCATAATTTACCCATATAAAAATTTATGAACTCCATAGCCAAACAATGTCATTCTAAATCAACAAAAATCAATTCAAATTTTCGGAATTTCAGGAGAGCTCAGGCCCATTCCAGCCATGAAATGCTAAATTCTAAACAAAATCAGCTAGGGGAGCATGTAGTTCTGTTACTATGGATGCGCTACCAGTCAGTAAGTAATCGCAGCTCGAGTTGACAACAAATCCAAGCACCTATGTGTTATGACAGACTCTAAGTATTTAATGTTTGAATGTGTATAAACGATGGCTTTACTTTGGAAGAAGTGCATAATACAATATATAGTCCCTTTTAATATAGAAAATGGAATATTAACTGATCCAATTATGTACCAAATTCAAAATACAATATGCAGAATAATTCAGGTCCAGCCTCTTTTCACTTTATCCATGGGTTATTTCTTTACAATCTTGGCAACTCTTTTCTTTCTATTTTCTTTTGTGAAAAAAAAAAAAAAAAAGAACTTAAAACTCTTTGAAATGGCCAAAAGATGGCGAAAGGGACTTAATGGATTTGTACAAACAATTTCCTACAGGATTTAGATTTAGATTCACCTGATTGAGATGTGTTCATAACAGCGGCCATGATTTTTGTTTCCATGTGAAGATAACAAGTGCCATTTCATGATCCTAAAGGTCAGAATATCTTATTTCTTATTTCCACCTGAACCTCAAATACCAACAATCTTAGGATGCTTCAATTGCAAGAATTTACAGAAAGAGCTTAGTCATGCCTATGAACTGTTTCAAAATTTGGCAAGGTCGTTGAAGATTCAACTACACTCAGGAGGGAAATATACAGAAAGAAAAGAAGTTTCAAAGTTCCACAGTTTAACTAGTTTCGACAAAAAACGATTAATAAGTAACAAAAATAAGACTTCAGATTTTGGAAAAATAGTGTTTTAAATACCAAAATAACAAATAATAATGAAAAACCGCTAGAAGGAACAAGATTGTAAAAAATAATTTTGCATGACAAACAATAAAGGTCACCAGGCCAGTTGTGTTGGATACAGTTTACAACCTTCATAGCAAAGATCAAGAAACTTAGTCTCCGCAGATTTAACAAGTGCATTGGATAATGTCAAGATTAGATAACACAGTCATCACAAATTGAAGTGAAGAACTGCAGGTGACAACTAATCATTCACAAAAAAAAAAAAAAAAAAAAAAACATGTCCACCACCTGAAAGGATTCTCTCTTCCAATGATTGTCTTCTTTCATTTTTTCTCATTTACATATCTGCTGCTACTTCTGAAATTTATGTACACATAGAAAGGAGAGGATACCTACATGTATGAAACTCCTAGCTAAGGACGACTACCATGCTTTTTTCAACAAAAGATGACTACATTACGAGTAAGAAGGGAAAGAAAAAAGCATATGACAAAGGGAGGCCCATAAAAAGTTGTGAATAATGCAGTAACCCATGACCTCATGAAGAAACCCTTCTCTAAATAACTTGGTCCACATGGCCACATTAAATAAAATTCTCAATTTAATTCTCATTAAATTTCATTAATAAAGAGGAAAACTTAATAAAATAAGGTCATTACGTGAACTATATAAAGCCACTACTTAAAAAAAAAATCAGATTCAAAACGACGATTGATCTAGCTTAAAATACCTTATAACTTTCAATCCCAAACTGATAGAGCCTGATTCCACCATCCTTTAGAAACTCCGTGGTCGCCTCCGAATACGGCTCTGGACATAAACATCTAAAAGACAAAACCCTAGCTTAACCAATCCACATATATACATACGCTGATAAGCACAAAAAAGCCAACAGAAAAAGTACGAAGAAAATGTTTACATGATGGAGCGGAGGCCGAGCGTTTGGAGAAAAGAGAAGTTAGCAGAGTCAGGAAAACCAGACCTAAAGATGCCATTATCTACCATAGCAAAGTTTAGTGGTGGAATAAGATTGAGTTCGTCTCCGACAAGCGGAGAAGCAACCATCGAAGGTGAAGTTAGATCGCGGCGGTCAATAACTGCCACTTCTATTGTCCTGCAGATGGTACCGTTGTCTCCGTTGGTGGCAGAGGTGGTGATGGTGTGGTCTATTTTCATGGGAGAAATTTTTTAAAGAGAATCACGAGGGATGTTCTGTTAGGTACTGTACTGCTACTGCTGTTTTTTTAACTTTTTTCTTTGGCAGTTAGAGGAGATAGAAAGAGAGAGATGGGGTTGCCTCTGATGAAAGTGGAGAAAAACTGGTGGCGCTGGTCGTTATAAGAAAAGTAGAGCGGTCACCATTGGTATTTATAGAAACAATTTGGCAAAGCGAAAGCAAGAGATGAAATCTTTTCTAACTTGAATCGACTGGGTTATGTAGACTTTTTTTTCTTAATTTAATTTAATATTCTTTGAAATGAAAAAGAAAAAAGTGGAAATATTTTAAAAAGAAAAATTTACAGACGGCAAGTTCAAACTAAAATAATAAGTAGAAAAATAATAGTTTACTGAAGTAATAATAATAATAATAATAATTTTTTTTAAAAAAAAGAAAGAAACAATACGAAGCGTGAGAAGGAGTCACACACACGCTTGTTTTATGCGTGTCTTAGCCAAACTCTGAGGGCGCTTTTTAGGGCAAGAAAAAGAAAGATCTATGCTATGTAGAAGCATGTTGGTTCGGGCTCTTTTCCTGTTTGATTTGCCGATAATTGAACCGTAACAATTTACATATTATTGTTGAGAGTTGGTTCCGTGTGAATATTCAACTTGGAAGTATTAAGCTCAAGACTCAATCTAATTAGCTATAGTCATTGAGATAATTTAAGTTTTGATTTCGATATAAATACAGTAAATTAAATTTATCTAAATATAGATAAATATAAAAAACAAAATATTTTATATAGGATGTACCATCATCTATACTTTATGTGTGTGTACATATATATATGAAAAATAAAAATAAAAACATTTTAGAACTTTAAGATAGGCCAACTTCATGCATTTTGTGATTGATGCTGGCGGTGGTGGCCTAATTTGGTAAGGCATGGAAGACAGCCGTTGTATACATTATTAGGTTCAAGTTTATTAATTATTTCTATCCTTTTTTTTTCTTTCGAGAATGTAAATTTTTTTTTATTATGTAAGCTTATGTGCTAACTTCAATCAATTATCGTATAAATTTTTTATTGTAAAAAAAATCATATCTTACACCTATATTTAAATTATGTACATTTAACACGATTTTATATAGAATTCAAAATAAAAAGAGTTGCAGTTTTTTGGGAACTTTATAAAACAATCAAACGAAAAATTTTAAATTAATTAAAGATGACAAATTCAAATCTGAACAAAACACAACCATGTCCAGCACTTAGTCTAAAAATTTTACCACACCTTAATTTATAATCCTTTGTCAAAGCCCAAAAAGTCCAAAACATATTTGTCCACCTCAATTCTCATATAACTGGTCAGTTATACTTTCTTCTTCTCTTCAAAAGTAAAAAAAATACGTCCTAAATTTTTATTCTTATTATTATTATATTTTTTTTTCATAAAGTGAATTCATGATCTTTGAATAGAGTCGATACGATACAACCCAAATTTAATTCGTAGGCAGAGCGTAGTCACAAAACGCTTAAAGTGAGCGTGTCCTTCGTGCCTCCCTCTCCCCAGAAATGACAACGGCATGTTAGCCTACTCATCTCCTCGCTACAAACATTTGTCACTGAAATCACAACACTGACTACTCTGAAACCAGCATCACATCCGTCCCACTTCTTGAAATGACCGAACCAACTTGGTGGGTCCAACGATAGTATAATGCAATCAGGACCACCAAATCGCGGCCTAGTTCGTGGATAATAAAAATATAATAGGAGGAAATGTTTGATATTATTGTTAATTAATAATAATAATTTAGAAAAGGGTATAAAGAGTACATTCGAAAGAATATGCGGGGAGAGTGAAAGAATGACGAGAAAGTTTTTGGAGGGAAGTGGATTGGAGATGCGGTGGGAGAGCCCTGCGCCACGTACTTTTTCCTTGTCCATTTGTCTGTGGAAAAATCCCACGTCGGAAAGTGCAAGAAAAGTGTGGCCCATGCCTCTCTTCCTTTCCGTTTCTCACTCATTTCTCTGCTTTTTCCCATCCTTAGTTTCATGACTTCTTCATCGTATCCTTGACTCGAGTCAGATGTTTTGCCCTTTCAAGAGGGTTATGAACCTATAATGCTTCTGCAAATTGTGAACAAGCTAAGCTAGCTCATATTTGATGGTCTTGGGTTGACCCATAATTGTAAACGTGGGCTGCTCTTAGGGAAAAATTAGAGGCAGGAGAGAGACTGGGGCGGGTGCCATTGCCCCAGTTTTTGAAAAATATATGTTTAATTTTCAAACCACAAGAGGAGACACTTTCGACGAAATGGTTAAGGAGACATTATGGTTTTGATAAGTAAAATGTGTCAGGTGCTTAGTCATTCTTCTTAGGGTCCTGCCATGAATTAGTTCTGTTGGTCAAGTGAGTGGGAATTTGGAAATGGAGTACTACATGTATAGAGGACAATAATTAACTCCCACCTAGATAAGAGGAAAGCTACTTCACCTCTTAGATGTGGAAAAAAAAAAAAAAAAGGTACTGTTGTTTAATTTACTTTTGAATTTATAAAAAAAATAACATTTTAATTTACTTGCGAAACATAGTTTTAGAAGAAATGTCATTTTTTCACAACTAAATGGATCTTAATACTTTCGCAGTCTGATAACATGTTTTCTACACTTTATATACGTTTCTTGTTCAAAAAAAAAAATATATTGAGTTTTCATACATATTTAAAATGTTATTAATTAACATATCATATCATTTTTTTTTATCGATGTTTTTTAAAGATGCTCCCTTTTTTATTATAAGTTCCTTACAAATGATTTTTTAATTAAAAATATTGTAGTAAAATACATAATTTAAATATTTTGATCACACAATTATTTTAGGGCAAACAAAAATTAAAAGCACATCAATCTCTTTGGATAAGAGAGTAACATATTTTAATTTACTTTTAAATTTAAATAAATATTTTCTATTAAATCATATTTTTCCCTACACATTGAACAAAAAAAATCATTTTTTATTTAAAAAATAAATCACAAATATTTAAATGTCTTCCGTACCAAATAAAACGCGATATTATACGATTGAGGAATAATTGTTGACCAAATGAAATTGTGTTCAGGAATAAACAGAAATTACGAACCGTTCTAGACGATTGAGGAGTACTGTGACCGTTATTTCCATCTTCCTTTAAAAGCCCCAAATATTTGCAATAGAGAAGCAACCGATAGCGGTCAGATTCCACTATCAAAAGAAAGGAGAAAAAAAAAAGCAGTCACATTCCCGCTGATAATTTCTTGATCTGAGTACGGAAAAAGAAACCTCTAAATTGCATAGAAGTTGACCCTGCTTTTTGATCTTGCTGCTCTCCATGATAATTCACCATTACAAATCACATATACAGCTTCTCTTAAAAGAACGACTTATAAACTATTTCTCTTGTAATAAAACATGTAATAAAAATGTAAATAACATATTTAGAGTCAAGATATTAAATCATTGTCTAAAATTTCATAATTCAAGAGTCAAGATAATCTTTTTTTTATTTTAGAGGGTCAGAAACTTTCTATTTCTCTGTTTTTTTATCTATTCTATTTTATGTATCCTAATTACTTTTTCTTGCCCTATATATATATATATATATATATCAAGGGAGATAAGTTTCCTACAACTATACAACAGTTGCTTGAATATTTTTTTTAAATAATTTTATTGTCGAGTCAATCTGTCATGGACAACTAGACTAATTTTTTTCTTTTTTTTATCATCTTCCATTCGCCCATGATGGGTTAGACCTTATGCGAGGCTCTCCGCAATATCAATAATAAAACCAAAAAATATATTTTCATAGTAGAAAATGGATTGTGTGACCTAGTTGCTTGAATTTTTTTAAAAAATAATTTTGTTGTCAAGTCAACTTGCCATGGGCAACCCAACCCATTTTTTTATCATCTTCCACTCGCATATGACGGGCTAGACCCGATGTAAGGCTCTCTACAATATCGATAATAAAACAAAAAAAAAATTCATACTAGAAAATGAATCGTGCAACTTAACGAGCATTCCTACATTTTGATAGATTATTACCATACATCTATTAGGGATAACATAATAGATATCACCTAAAATTAATAAATGATATATAAGATATAATATATTATAAATCTCGCGAGTATCTCGGAAAGTTTTTTGTATTTAATATTTCATTATGTCAAATCTCTCGGTTTGCATATAGTCCGATTTCATATTGTATATCCATAATCAAATTCGTGCTACTCTCAAATGATACTTCTTTCAAGCAACATGATTGGTTGGCCAAAGAATATACTTGAACACGTCTTTTTTTATTCAAAATTTTAATTCAAAATTTGACTTGTTTTTCTAGACCATGTCTATAGATTGAATCATATATGATCATAACTGTCTAAGATGACAAACACCAAGCCTAAATCTCGAATAGAAGTAAAAAAAAAATGATAAGAATATCAATTAAAGGATATTATTGTTCCTCTAAAGATCTCACGAGTGGAGAACTAAATATCCATTCTTCTACTATCTTTTGCGGTTTTATTAACACACATGGTATAAATCACGTCTTACACACACTATATAGATTTTAGTTCAATCGTCAAACATAAGCAACTAACCCGAGTTCTTAGGGTATTTTATCTCAATAGATATTATCACCGAAATCTCAAACCTAACTTTCACAACTTATTTGGATTGAACTTTCCAAATCAATTGTAAAATATACATTGATTTACAATCTCATCTTGATTTTATGTTAAGGTAGCACTTTGTTAATCTTATCTCTACTTTACTCACTCTCAATAACGCTATAAGAGCTTTATCTCATCTCTATTTTTTTTTTTTCTAATAGTGCCGGAGGCAATTGCTCGTGTGAGGAAGTCAATCTAAACTAGCTTAATGTACCAAAAAAAATCACAAATTTTATATAATTTTTTTTAATCATATTAGCACATTCTTTCAATTTTAAATAGAAAAATCAT